GTATAATTCCTAATAGAAATGTCTCTGGTTTAAAGTCTATATGTTGTTTTGTCATTTTTTCTGCCCCCATGATTTCTGATGACCTTTCATCAGAAATATTGGGGGTGGGGAAGTAGGGCAGGTGAAGATAAAGACCTCCTTGAGCGGGCCTTGACTCCTGCAAGCTTTATGGAGGCATCAGTGTCCTTTTCTTAACGGTGTGGAGATGGTACTGCCATTGTGTTCTCAGATTTATTTTGGCTTCTCGAGTTTAACTTCTAGGACTGGGATTTCCTGGGATCTCCCATTTAGGTACTAACTGGGTCTGACTCTGCCTAGTTTTTTTGAGAACAGCGAAGATCAGGCTTGTACTGCCATCTGCTGTCGAGCTTGACTGCTGATGACTTCATGGTCCCATCCACCCAATTTTCTTGGCAATAGCCAAGAAGCGGTTGGCCATCAGACATCACAAAGCCATTCAAGCCCACCGTGAACCATCTAAGGTGGATGAATTTTTATTCACTTTCTCCAATAACATTGCATACATTTTGTAAAATTTGCTAAGTGCCAAGCAGGCACCCCTTTCGAGTCGGTTTGTTTTTTCAAGCATAACATAACCATTGCACTGGTCTTTGGGTTGCTCGTGTCTACCCTAACGGCAGTCCTCTTTCAGGCATTGCTTCAATTCAGGTGATCCAAACGATCCAGATCGAAGTAATGTTTCCATTTACTTAATTGAAGTACCCGAGTGGGCTGCATTGATTCAGCCGGTGGCTTGCTTTGGAAAAGATGCTTTGATCGCAACCGTGCACGTGTTGCATTTGCTGATTTGTCATTCCTTTCCAGAGAGGTCACCCGATCTCTGAAGGATTTTTCTTCCAGTAAAAGGATGAATACCGGTGACAAGGTAAGACATAGATCGGAACTAGAAATTAGAAGGTTTCAGGATGTGATAAATTTGGACGGAGATGAAAGTAAAGCTTAAAATAGATAGTCGTGTAGGTGGCAAAAAAAAATCTTTGAAGGGGAAGGGTTGAAAAAAAGGGAATGGAATATCCTGGAAGAGGTCACATTGAGCAGATTGGCTGTAATTTTAACTGCATCTTCTTTTTGTGAGAGCACTGTAATGTGTTGAGGGTTTTTACAGCATGGCGGTATTTCAGAGCAAATGCTACTGATAGGATGAAGGAAGCAGTCAGTGATAGAAAGAAGTGGGAGTAAGGGAATTAAGGAACTTTGCAGGTAGGATTGGAGAGAGTTAAACAAATGCCCGGGACTTCACCTAATTTCCCTCTCTTGGATTCTGAGAACTACCCGCTCAGCCCTCCCAGCAGGTAGAACTGGATCGGATCACTCTTTCAATGTGGTTGTAGCATTTGATCCTGGTGGGTTCCATGTCGCTTGGAATTCAGGAGCCTTGCTGAGGATCCCCCTCTCTTTGCACCTTTCAGACCACCTTGAGGGACCTTTCCCAGATGCTCAAGAAGATGCCCCAGTATCAAAAAGAACTCAGCAAGGTATGTTCCATTGCTACCGGCTTAAACTGAAACATCCAGCCTGCGAAAGTAGAGAACCTATGGCCCTCTAGGCAATGCTGAACTACATGTTGGAGCATCCAGGTTAAGAAGCTGGGAATTGGGGCTGAGCCTGTTGGCTGTCTGCAAGTACTGAAATAGTGCTGGAGAGCGCTAAGTGGAAAGGCCCATCTAGCATTGAAGCTTACTGGGATACGGGGGAAGATTGCTCTTCACTGGGGAGTTGTGAAGCTACAGTACAACAGAAGAACCGTCCAGTTTAGCCAGATTCTCACCTGCACGAAGGTGGATAGTAGTTTCTTTCTATTTGCTTCATGTCTTGCATGAACTCAGCTTTTACCATTTGCACGTCATGGTTTAACTGTTAGGCTGTTGTACTATCTCAACCCATTGCAATTTTTTCAGCAAACCACAGTTCACTGAACTGTCTTGTGCTCCTTTAAAGGAGAGAAACTCTTTTTTCCTTTAATTCAAGTAACTTAACCTGGTATGAGGGTTTCCTCCACGTTCCATTTTATCCTCACGCTAACCCCGTGAGGCAGGTTGAAGAATGGCAACCTTCCTGGGTAGCCCAAACATCACTTTTTGCAAACCGGAGGGAACGATCAACAAACCCCCAAATTGGTTGAACCCCAGGAACATCAGAGAGTACAACAAGCTAGTTCATGGAGAAAGGAAACCACCAAAGAACCGAGTGAACATTAAGTGTACTCGACTTCAAGTGTTTGTGGAGGGTTGGCAGGGGAGGAATGAAAGGGAATGTGCTAGAGAAGAGAATACCTGGCTTGCTGAATTACCCTTCTTCTGTTTCGGTGTTTGGCTAGTATTCCACTCATCTCCACTTGGCTGAAGACTGCATGAAGCACTACCAAGGCACTGTGGACAAACTCTGCAGAGTTGAGCAGGTAAGTCCATTTGTGCTAGAAGCACTGAGTTGTGTGTTTGTGTGTGCCTAAAACGGGAGAG